TTGGAGAAGAATTGACAGATAATTTCTGTCGTAATATGGGTGGTGTCACTGTCTCTGATTACTTAGATCAACGGCAAAATTGCAAAAGGATCATTTAAATTCAGTGGCTACTGAAGCATGCGGCATTCGCTGTCTCCCATCTGTCATCAGCTGAGTCTCGCTAATTCTCCTCCATCACACTGTGCACTTCTCAGGCCCTTTGTGTCCTCATGTAGGTTGTCTCGTCCGTCTGATCTTGTGTCTGTCTCGTCCAGTTCTCCCTGCAGTTTCTTCCTGTGTGTCTGTTTGTAGATGAAGGGGCTGAGGATCAAGTGGGTCCTCTACACAGGTTCCCCAGCCATGAACCTGCCACCAGCGGGGAGAGGCGTAGGCTCCTAGCCCCCTCCATCTCCGTGTCTGTGCCCGATGATGAGCCTTACAATTCTGATGAGGAGTATTATGAGCACCCTTTGTTCAGCTCAGAATGGACTACCTCTAATGTGCTCCCCGGTGCCACAGCGCAGAGTGCAGAGGCCCACTTAGGCCAGGAGAAAGGTGAACCAAGCATGGTGCCCTTTTGCTCCTCCTCTCCAGCCTGCAGCTCTGGCCACACCCATCCTGTTCAATGTGCCTTCATGTGGGGGTGGGCGGGACTAGAGGCTGTTTTTTCCACATGTAAGTAAAGTCTCTTTGTAGGACATATCCCAACCAGCTGCCTCAAAATTTATACAGAAGTCCTCCTTCAGCCATGTGAGCGCTTCCTCTCTTTATATCCTCTCTTCCAAGAAGAGTGAGAGACAGTGAGAGACGGAGCAAAAATTAAAATTCAATTCAAGTCCAGTTCTGACTTCAATCTACTCCTTGCAAAAAAAAAAAAAAAAAAGTCACTGTAGATCCTTACCCACACCAAAGAAGATGACTTTGATATTTTTTTTTCTCCATAGATACAAAAGACAGGAGCTTTTTATAGTGCTCTATTGATATGATCATTCCTTAAGAGAGAAAGATTGGAGGACATATTTAGAATAGAAATAAATGTTATGAATTAATTTCTTCATTTCAGTTAATCATCTGCAGAAACAACAATTGGGTGGATAAAGTTTGCCTGCAGATCTGGGCTAAAATGAAAGAAATGATTCAAAGTCTAGGTTTCTCCAATCTCATAAAGCTTCCAGACCTAGTATGTAATTGGCTATAGTCAGGATAAAATGAGCGGGCAACGGGCTGCCATATTCCTCATTCTAACTAGTAGTTTTGTAAAGAAAAAAGGAAGTACATCTAAAAATACTTTTTCTTAGGTGAAGAGTTTATTTTCAAATGAACAAAATAACTTGCTTAGTAGTGGAAGAGTTTATTTTCTTATGAGACAGTATGTAATGTGAAGTGCAGACAGTTTTAAAACAATGAGGTATAAGCTCATAACCCTCTATTTAGATTCCTGATAAGGTGCTTCTTTGGTTTCCTTTTGAAAATAAAGAGCTCCCATGGAGCAGGAACATTGATAGCAAACTATAACCTCCACTGAATGCACCCATGTTCTTCTCACAGTGTGAACTTAAGATAATCAAATATATGGAAATATTTGGTTAAGAAATATGTATAGTAGAAGTACACATGTTCTAAACAAATGAGAAAATGAAAAGGTTAAAAAATGACATGAATTTGAAAACTTGTAAATTTACTTGATTTGACTGTCCAGTGAAGTAACATCAGTGATGTTGGCTATATTAAAATTCGTTTAACTGCAGTCAAGACCTATGCATTACAAAAATTCTCTTAATAATTTGTTAGAATTGGAATATTTTCTTTTAAAAACATGTTACTTATAAAATTAAATTATAAAAATGGAAGTCCCTGAGTGATAAAACAGATGAAAAAATTCTATCTACTCTCTCCCTCTGGGATATTACTATTTCTTGAAAAAGAAAATTCCTTTTCTTTCCATCTGTAGTTTTTTACTCAGGACCTGTTAGATAATGTACAATTATTTTTCAGAAATTTAATGAAAAATCTTCTTCCATCTGCAGAGCTATAGAGCAGTTTATGTATTTATCTTTAATTTATTAAGGGATAAAGTGGGATTCATTTGTTTTTACTGTCATTTAAAATGTAAAGGAAAAAAAATCAGTAGTGCAATAATGCTACTACTTTCCCACATGATAACCATGGGCAAAGCTGTCTTGACAGTTTGCCACTCATTTATCTTTTCTCAGAGATTTTTATCTTCAATTGAAGAAACATGATTTTATTGCTAATATGCCTATTTTTTCTGAGTGTCAAAAGAACTTAAACATGAACAATATTACTGATTAAGCCTTATTGTAATAATCGTGGTCTAGAGACCAACTTTTGCAAATAATAAGTTTGTAAATAATAAATTCTGCATTTTATTAAATATTTTCCTTTCTCTGGCATCATATAATTCAATGAAAATAACATAAATGGACTCAGGTAGTTTTTCTTTGGAAAGTAGTAAATAAATTTGAGTAATTTTGATGGACTTGTAGTAGAGCTGTTAAGGTATTTGGCTGGAAATTATCTTGTAAAAAGGCCTTTTTTAACTTCTAGAGTTCTTTCCAGCTTTTAAATGAAGCAATCAAGGCTTCTTATGTAGGGGCTTCATGCATTGGAGAAAACAGCACGCCCAACAAATTTTAAGGCTTTCATTTCAGTGCATTAATTCATGTATCTTATCCCAACCATCTGTTACCCATCCAACTCTATCTCATTTCCAGCAAACCCTTCACATGCATATAGCTTACTGCCATTTCCACTAAGGGTAATCAATCAATAAAACCCTTTCAGCTCTCAGTTTTTAAAATAAATAGCCTTTTGAATGAGATGCCATAATGTTTCAACCAGTACACAATGTACATTGCATGACACTCAATTTGCTCATCTAGTGGTGAAACAAAACATACCTGAGTTCCTGATGGGATCATTCCAATGGAGCTGAAAGTGTTCCTTGAATAATATTTTTGTCCTTGTGTGTGTTGTTCTGTGGTCATGATGTCAACATCTTTTTCATCCCTAAGAAGAAGAAACGCTAGAGGGTGTGATGGCTGAGGAAAAGAAACCTGCTGCTCTTCCTGGGGAAAAGTGTGGGGCTACTAAGTCCTCAGACCCACCCCAAGCCCTCAGTGGGGGCCAAGTGGAGTCTAGTGCAGTGGCCCAAATAGCTCCAGAAGAGAGTGCCTGGATGGGGGAACTACATGAGAAAGGTGTAAAAGAGGTCAAAGAAGTGTCTACAGAAGTAAAATCCCCTTCCTCTACCAAGGAAGGTGTGTCTTTTTCAGGATGTGCATGTTTTGTTGCAAGCCATCTCTCCAGTGGCTTGCCAACCTGATGCCTTTCCAATGTTGCTCCATTGCTGGGTCCTCTCATGATCATGAGACACCATTTTAGGCTTGATGAGCAGAGTGTGGCTTGCGCAGATGCTGTGTGGCAGCTTGGTTGTCCCCTGCTGCAACTGATTCCTGGTTGTCCTTTGCCATGATACAATACGCTTTGCAGCAGGCTGATGGTGCTGTGTGAGCTTTTGATTTTCCCTCCCTCCTCATCTCAAATGTTTGCCAGTCACATTGCTAATACATTGTATATTTTTGTTTTTATTTTGGGGACAGCAATTTCATATGCTTTTCTTTCAAGTCCTAGAGTTGGAGTTTGGCGCATAGCGGCTTAAATAATAGAAATGCTTTTATTTGCAACTGCAATGTGCTATGTTTGTTTACTTATTTTTACTTTTTATGTTTTTGCTTCAGCAAATACTGGTTTGGTTCCCTTAAGAAATCTTGTTGATGCTTCTCATGTCATGTTCTCTCCATGGCAGCCAACTCCCGCGGTCACACCCAATCCTCTTGAGGTTTTCATTCATCTAACCTTTATTACAAGTTCATTAAGTCTTTCTTTTCTACTGTTACAACAGAACACATAATTATATAAGGTAATGATGATCCATACACTTGCTCTTTGAAAGGTGGTTGGATTTTATGATTTTTTCCCTCAAATCTTTCCCCAATGACTACATTTAGCTCTAAAGACCACAATTTTGTGGTCGTTAATCTTAAAACGCAAGGATTGACATATAAATAAAAATGAGAACAAGTCATTTATTTCTTGTGAAGCATCTGTAAAGCCAATACTGACCAATGCTTCAATCACTGATTATGCCCTACGGAAACCTATCCAGGCCAAAACCATGGAAAAATGGGTATTTTAAGAGTGAATTCTTTTAAAGATTTTTTTGCTATAGCAGTCTTAGTAATATGATTCAGATACATACACATCATACAAAATAAGTTATGATTATTAGAAATTAAGAGTTTCGAATAGATAAAAATTAGGTGATCAATGATGTGCTAAGTCATACCATACAAATCAATAGCAAGTGTTTACTTATATTCTTAGAAGTAAACATCAGATGACTTCTAAAACTTCATATCAATATAACTTTTCAATACCTCTATAATTGGTATTGATAATTGTTAATCAATTTATCAAAATCTATTGATTTTTATCATAATGAATTACCTGATCTTCTGCACATTGCCTCCCAATTTATTTTCCATGAGAAAACCTATAAACACATCCAGGAGATGACAGTCCTTACCCATATTTTATCTTTAATATACTTTTGTACCTTTACATCAGCTACTTGTTCAGTATGCATTAATTTATCATTTTTATAGAAAGCAAATACATTTTTTATTCTAATGCACATCACATGATGTTTAGGAGAAACTAAACAAATAGAGCCAAAAGAAGGAAAAATAAGTGTCCTAAAGAAAACTTTTCTGATAATTCCTGCACACATTAATTTCTAACATTCTATCCTAGCAATAGTATACACAAAATATCAGCACTGACATTTGCATATTCATTTCTAAATGGGAAGCATGTTTGCATGTTCCATGCTTTTTCCTTTAACCTTCATCTCTTCATTTACCATCTCCAAGTATGAGTTTACGCTTACTGCCTGAAAGCCCTTTCTTACTGTTTAAAAATCAACCCAATTACTTCAGATTTACTTACAGCCTCGAAGATGGAGTTTCATGACCAGCAAGAATTGACTCCCTCATCAGCTGAGCCTTTAGATACGAAGGGAAAAGAGTCAGAGCTAATTTGTAAGCCTGGTGAAGACCTTAAACATGCTGCCTTAGTTCCTCAGCCAGAGACAACTAAAACCTCTCCTGATAAAAAGGAAATCCAAGGTACAGAAGGCGAAAAAGCACCTCTGGCTCTCTTTGGGCACACTCTTGGTGACAGCCAGGAAGACACGAAACAGAAGACAGAAACAAGTGTGGTGATACCTGGCATTGGCCTCTCTGCAGAGTCTCCAGCTCCCAAAGAGCAGAAAGACTGGTTCATTGAAATTCCAGTTGAAACAAAGAAAGATGAGTGGGGTTTAGCCGCTCCGGTTTCCCCTGGCCCCCTGACACCCATGAGGGAGAAAGATGTCCTTGAGGATATCCCAAGGTGGGAAGGGAAGCAGTTTGATTCTCCCATGCCCAGTCCTTTTCAAGGTGGCTTCACTCTCCCTTTAGATGTTATGAAAAACGAAATAGCAACAGGAGCATCACCCTTTGCCCCTGTCCTCTTACAACCAGAAGACAAAAAATCTCTGCAGGAAGCCACTGATCCAGCTACTGCCAAAGATAGTGCTACAATAGAGGAGTCACAGAAGGATAAGACTGAGAAAGTGGCAGAAACTCCAGAGGCAATTATCTTACCCAAAGATGCTTACGGTCTAGTTATGGAAGGATATGTTGTGGAGAAGGATTTAGGGGAAGAAAGGGAAGGCACAAATGAGGAGAAGAAAGAGACCTCCATTCCCAGTGGACAGGAACCACAACCAAAACATGAAGAACAAGTAATCATTTCTGATAAAGAAGTTACACTAAAAGATCATGAGCCCCCAACACACAGAGATGAAGAAACAGGCGTGATTCAGAGCTCTGTAGAGCTCTCTTTCTCAAAAGAAGGACCGAAAAGCCAAGCACAGAGCACAGACATATTTAACCAAGACTCCTTCTCTGCAGGTTTGGAGTCCACATTTACAGATTCAGTCCTGGCCTCTAAGACCTTGGAAAAAGTTACCACTGAGCCAGCTACTTTAAGTGAAAAGAGTGCAGCCCAGGAATTTTCTGAGGAGAAAGTTGCTGTCAAAGATAAGGTGGAAGGAGTCGGGACTGCAGCGTCGGCTGAGGTTGGCATGCCATTTTATGAAGATAAGTCAGGAATGTCCAAGTACTTTGAAACATCTGCCTTGAAAGAAGAATCCATAAAGAGCATTCAGCTAGGCAGTGATTACTACGAATTAAGCGATACAAGAGAAAGAGCCCAGGAGTCCACTGATACCATATCTACTGCCACGCAAAATGATGACAAGGGATTGCAAGAGGGCAAAGAATCCCAGCCAAGTGTGCCAGCCCAAGAAGCAGGGTACAGCACTCTGGCACAGAGTTATCCCTCTGATTTACCTGAAGAACCCAGTTCTCCTCAAGAGAGAATGTTCACTATTGATCCAAAAGTATATGGGGAGAAAAGGGATCTCCACAGTAAGAATAAGGATGACCTGACACTCAGTAGAAGCTTGGGACTTGGTGGTAGGTCTGCCATAGAACAGAGAAGCATGTCAATCAATTTGCCCATGTCTTGCCTGGATTCTATCGCCCTTGGATTTAATTTTGGTAGGGGCCATGATCTTTCTCCTTTGGCTTCTGACATTCTAACCAACACTAGTGGAAGTATGGACGAAGGAGATGATTACCTCCCTGCTACTACACCCGCAGTGGAGAAAGCCCCTTGCTTCCCAATAGAAAGCAAAGAAGAGGAGGAAAAGATAGAGGAGGGAAAAGCTACTGCTGGCCAGGAAAATACCCAAGTTGAGACATCCAGTGAGTCACCGTTCCTAGCCAAAGATTACTACAAAAATGGAACTGTCATGGCCCCTGACCTGCCCGAGATGCTCGATCTGACAGGCACGCGATCCAGGTTAGCTTCTGTGAGTGCAGATGCCGAGTTTGCCAGGAGGAAATCAGTCCCATCCGAGACTGTGGTGGAGGAAAGTAGTACTGGCTTGCCACCTGTCACGGATGCAAACCACGTCATTGTGAAAACAGACAGTCAGCCTGAAGACCTGGGGTACTGTGTGTTCAATAAGTACACCGTCCCTCTGCCATCACCCGTTCAGGACAGTGACAATTTATCGGGAGAGAGTGGCTCCTTTTATGAGGGGGCTGATGATAAAGTTCGAAGAGATTTGGCCACAGACCTTTCCTTGATTGAAGTAAAACTGGCCGCTGCTGGAAGAGTCAAAGATGAGTTCAGTGCTGAGAAAGAAGCAGCTCCCTCTACCTCTGCTGACAAATCAGGCTTGGGTAAGGAGTTTGACCAGGACAGAAAAGCCAATGACAAGCTGGATACTGTCTTAGAAAAAAGTGAAGAACACACCAAGGAGACAGAAGAGGCTGGTGGCAACGCAGAGATGTTTGGACTGGGAATGACCTATGAACAAGTTTCCACCACCAAAGAACCAACAATAGCAAAACACTCATCACCGGAGAAAGTAGGTAAAGGTCTTGGTTCAGTGCCAGAGGTAGCTGAGGTAGAGCCATCTAGAAAGGCTGAACAAGAACTGGATTTGGCTGCAAAGAGAGGTGACCAGGATCAGTTAGATGTTCAAATCAGTGACTTTGGACAGATGGCTGCAGGGCTGAGTGTAGAGGCTGGGAAGGCCCCAGAGCTTAAACTTGAAGCTGCACAGGAGCTGACCCCCGCCTCCAAAGCACCTCAGGCAGCAGATGCATTCCTGGGTGTTGAGCTGGGCCATGTGAAAGAAGGTGCCAAGGTCAGTGAGACCGAAGTCAAGGAGAAGGTAGCCAAGCCCGACCTGGTGCACCAGGAGGCTGTGGACAAAGAGGAATCTTACGAATCCAGTGGCGAGCATGAAAGCCTCACCCTGGAGTCCCTGAAGCCTGACGAGGGCAAGAAGGAAACGTCTCCAGAGTCATCTCTCATTCAGGATGAAGCGCCCATTAAGCTGTCGGTGGAAATCCCTTGCCCGCCCGCCGTTTCGGAGGCTGAGCTAGCTGCGGACGACAGAGCCGACGTCCAGATGGAGTTTATTCAGTTGCCAAAGGAAGAAAGCAAGGAGACCCTGGATACGTCCGTCACCCCCTCCGAGGTGACCCCGACCCAGGTGGAAGCCATCGTGTGTGAACCCGCAGAGGCTCTGAGTGAAGAGGAGGAGATCGAAGCCCGGGGCGAATACGACAAGCTCCTCTTCCGCTCCGACACCCTGCAGATCACTGACCTGGGGATCCCGAGCAGCCGCGAGGAGGTGGTGGAGGCCTGCCCAGGGCCAGGGGAGCACAAGGGAGTGATCGAGTCCGTGGTGACCATCGAAGACGACTTCATCACGGTGGTGCAGACCACCACGGAGGAGGGCGAGTCGGGGTCCCACAGCGTGCGCTTCGCAGCCCTGGAGCAGCCCGAGGTGGAGAGGAGGCCGTCCGCTCCCGAGGAGGACCAGTTCCAAGTCGAAATGGCAGCCGAAGCCCAGGCCGAACGCAGAGACGGCTCTCCAGGGAGAGAAGAGGTCGTCGCCTACTCCGAATACAAGACGGAAACCTACGACGATTACAAGGACGAGACCACCATTGACGACTCCATCCTGGATGCTGACAGCCTGTGGGTGGATACTCAAGGTGTGCTTTCTTTGTTTTTAATCTACTCCAAATCAAACCCAGTAACCTAACGGGGTGGTGGTTGCATTTTTTCTTACAACTACCAACGTTTTAAGGTATTTCCTTTCTATCGTTCTTTTTTGTTTGGTTGACTATAAGAAGGATTTCTGTCCGTGTGTTACTAATGTTCTTGCTGTTGTTGTTGTCATGATTTGCTTTGATCCGCAGATGATGACAGAAGCATCATGACAGAGCAGTTAGACACTATTCCTAAAGAGGAGAAAGCTGACAAGGAAGTTCGGAGACCATCTCTCGAGAAACATAGAAAAGAAAAGCCTTTTAAAACCGGGAGAGGCAGAATTTCCACTCCTGAAAGAAAAATAGCTAAAAAGGAGCCTAGCACAGTCTCCAGGGATGAAGTGAGAAGGAAAAAAGGTTCATTTAACAATCACTTCTTTGAAAAATGTTTTTGGAAGTAATTTATTATTACTCTTTTGTAAGGGAAAAAAAAAAAACTACCTAATCTTGGTAACTGTTTATTTGATGAAATTTTCGTTCGGGATTGTTCCAAATGTTTCCTTTTTTTTTCCTGATGGTATGCTTTTTGTGTTTTCTTATTCATAGCAGTTTATAAGAAGGCTGAACTTGCTAAAAAAACAGAAGTTCAGGCCCACTCTCCCTCCAGGAAATTCATTTTAAAACCTGCTATCAAATATACTAGACCAACTCATCTCTCCTGTGTTAAGCGGAAAACCACAGGTGATTGCTCAAATTCTGCAATGTGGCTGGCAAACATAGATGTGTTGTTGTTGTTGTTGTTTTTAATCTCATTATTGTAGCTGCTTCTTCATTTTGTTTTTCCTCCAAGGATCTTATCAGTCATGAACAGTTTTGCAATTAAGTGTCTTGTATCATTATTCTTTTTTTTTTCTCCCCTCCCTGCAGAAAAGCTCATGACCATCCGTTTCTTTTTCATGCTCAGACATAACAGTGCGTGATTGTATCTTGGCATTGTCCTCTAATGTCACATTCTGGGGATTCCTATTTTCATTCTGTGTGTTTGGTTAGACGATGGCGATGAATTTAACCGTGGTATGCATTCTCATTATTTTGCTTATTTATCTCCCTCATGCTTAGAAAACCATATATATAGATAGATAGATAGATAATGTGTCCTATTTTCTACATTATTACTGCCAAATCTGTTACTGATGTTGACCAATTTACTGAAAACAGGAAAGCGTAATGACTTACACAATGGAAACAAGCAAGCTGGGATACAATTGTGGTTTGCCATAAAATGATTTCATTGTAGATAAGAAAAACAAAAAGGACAGGAAGTGAAATTGTCTGGCAATCCCATCAGATTTTATCTTCCTTTCCAAAGTTAGCAAACCTTTCAATCTACTGTACTATATAACTTAGTTGATATTTTGATATGTTGATCCAAACTGTGTAGTTTTCCGATATTATTCGACATGCAAAATTATAAAACTCCTGTTTCTTTCCGTGGAAGGTAAGTTAGAAATAAATAAATTTCCTGTAATCCCAGACCTCTGAAGGGTAAAGTAGGTGGAGTCGAAGGCCAGCTTCAACTACAAAGAAAGACTGTCTCAAAAAAAAAAAAAAAAAGGAAAAAAGAAATAAAACAGGTGTATTTCCATTTTACTATCTACTTATTTCTCTATTGTCTGCAAATGTTTATGTGTACTAAGCTTAAAAACCTTACAGAGCTAAGGAATGAGCCATGTTAGAAATCTTAATTAAAATCTCTGCTGATGATGCAAACTTTTTTCTCAATTTCAATAGAGTATTTATTTTTATATATGTATGCTAGTGAAATCCTCATTTAGAATATATTTTACTTAGCATTGAACTGATATGCTTATATTCTGCAAAATAGCCATACTGATATATCAGGAAAGAATATTTTTCCTTTCCATTGTACATTATGAAGGTTGTTTGTAAGCCCTTAGTTTTAAATATTGTATGGTATGAGCCTTTGTGAAAATTAGGGTTATTGATAGTTTTATGATAGCCATGTTTTGTTTCAAAACAAAAAATACTTGACATACATGGAGGGTGAGGGGAAGGGTCTCACTGTGTAGTCCAGGCTGGCCCTGAACTCATTATCTCCTACCTCAGCCTCCCAAGTGTGTTGGCATTACAAACATACACCACCACACCTAGTCAATATTCTAATTACTTTGTCTTCATAATCATATCATGTGTTTTCCTTTAGGAACAAGTATCAATGGCAGGATTGAGCAAAAAGTATTCAGGATGAGGAAGGCCTCTAGAGGAGGAGCTAGGAATTAACACAACAGATGCTAGTTAGACAAATACTTGGGTGTGTAGAACCTGTTTGGGCATTAAGAAATTCTGTATTCTGCCTGAAAAGATTGATGATGTCACCAGAATCATGGAATTTCAGAGGAAATGTGAAATTGTTAGTCATGTGTATGCCATTGATACGCACCTTATCACCTGAAGTTAGTTGCTTTTGTTAATACGTTTAAAGGAAAGTTAAGGTCTTTGGGCTCACATGAACCTTCCCTTATTCCTGTCAAATGTTAAGAAACTTTGACAGAAAAAAATAACAAATGTGGTTTAAAGCAAACTACATACATATGTCACAGGAATTTAAGATAGGATTAGAAGCAGACAGAGGCCATCCGTTTCCTGGCTTCTTTAAAAAGCTGGTTTTAGAATCTGCAAGTAGTGTTACTTATAAAATGTTACAGAGCGAAATAAGTATTATAGACAGGATTTTGGTGTCAGAGCTGCACAGGCAAGGAAGAAACTTTTTTTGGAACTAATTTGGAGAACATACCAAGATACATAATTTTTTTCTCCCTTGAGGGTTTCACTCTTACCACAAAAAATTAAAAAAAAATTAAGGAGAAAGTTAAAAACCCAACCTTGAATGTTTTATTTTCTGTGAATAACTTTCCAATACTGTGGTTCTCTACAAGACAAAGGATTGTCTTAAATTGTGAGATATTTAAGTCAAGTCAGGTAAGTCACCAACACAAAATATGCTGGAGATGATCAAGTTAAAAAATAAATCCAGGGGTGAAAGATAACCTAAGAGAAACAACAGTAACAGATGTGGTAATGATTTCATACAAAAAGTGCATGAAGTAAAACATATTCTGTATTTACTGAACTTAAGATTCCTGTTGTGTTTTCTGTCCTGGACAAGCTATTTCTTTCCCTTCTTGTGCATTTTCATAGCAAACAAATATGTCATTTATATGGTGAAAGGAAGTTGGCTGATCATGACAGTTTGGGACGTAAGATACAGAGATATCTGTAGGGGTGACAGTGACTTTCTAGAACAAGGTTTAAAAATCTAAGTACTCTTTGTTATATCATGCCAATCCTAGAAACAAGCCAGCTTCTGCTTAAGTTCTGCAGCATCAACATTGCTATTCTGTGATTTCTGTCCTAAAGACTCTACCTACAGGTAGAGATTCAAAGGTATGTTGTTAACCCACAGAAAACAATTCAGGGTGCAGGTACATGCTTTGATAGACACTAGGATATACTAGCTGGCACCCAATAGAGTTGGAGCTTTTGTTGTTACTGTTATGGTTTCTTCAGTTACTGAATTTGGGCCCCCAAAGCAGCAAAATTTTGCTTTTCACTAGTCTATTGAAATAGTAACATCCAAAACCAAAAGGTATTAACATGCATTTGTGTGATTTATAACCACTAAATTACTAAGTTTAGGGCCTTTTGTGTGTTTTCTTTTCAACAGCAGCAGGTGAATCAACTCAGGCTCCCAGTGCATTTAAACAGGCAAAGGACAAAGTCTCCGTGAGTAATTGAATTTTTCCTTGCTCTTGATTTCAAGTTTCTTTCCATACCAGTTGCAATGTTGTATTAACTTGAGATGCTGTTTAGACATTAGGTATTTACTGTTAAAAATGCCATTTCAAACTGTTCCCTCACCCAGGAAAGATTAACCTCTGGATGATGGGTGATAGCTGGTGAGAACTCAGCTGTGATCCTGCCTTATTTAGTAAGATATCTAGAAACAGATAAAGCAGTCCAGTGACAGGGCGAAAACAAGGAAGACCAATTTCCTCTTCATAGAATAAAATTCAGCTATTTTAATCAATGCAAATGTATTTTATAATTTCATTGCTTTTATTAAAAGTAAAACTAAATTAAGAAGTAATCCATTGTACTTCCCTTATCTAGAGATAAGTAACTACCATTTTAATGTGAAATTTTTTTTCCCCACACATTGAGAGGTTGAATAATAGGTATGGAAATATTGTGCCTTGATTTCTTAGACAGTAAATATATCCATCGATGCATCCTTATAATCACTTTATTGACAGTATATAACACGCTCTGCATATCTGCAATGATATAACTAATGAATTTTCTATTGTTTGACATTCAAAATACTGTCTGTTGCTATTTTTACAACATTGCCATTGAGATCTTTATTTGCTGAGTTCATAAGTACATTTTCTTGGGGTTGTTTTCTATTTTAAGAAGACTGTGCATATTTTAAAGTTTTTCCTACATACTGCCAAAGTTACATTGCTCTTATTTACCAAGTTATGATGATAAATATCACTTTAATGGGGTTTTATTAATGACATTATCTTCTTGTGTGTTTATAATTTTTTCTACTTTTTCTTTTTTTAATTTTGCTGTTCATATTATTTATTCACGTTATTTATTTGTATTATTTGTTTATTCATGTATTATTTGTTTATTCATAGTGTTTATTTTTGTTTATATACTTATGGTACTGGAGTGTGAACTCAGAGCCGGTACTTGCTAAGAAAGAATTTTACCACTTAAGCTATGCTCCCAGAACATGAAATATATATTTTTTATGATTGGAATAAAAATTTTTTAAAACTACTAATGAAAACCTAAAATTACAACAAATAATTTGGGTGATTTTAGTTAGTAACTTTTCGTAATATTTTGTGTCTACAGTCATGTGATTTTTTTTCATGTGATTTTTTTAAAGCCATATTCTTTTTTGGATTTCTACTTTGTATTTATTATGAAAAATTAAAAGCAACATAGCATCTTATTTAGGCAGGGATGGGAGTGTGGTGGGGGGGGAGTGTAGTTGAGGAGGTGGGAAGGAAGGGATAGTAGAGGAAAAACAAAGGAGGAGGCAACAATGCTTGATAAGAAATGTACTCATTACCTTGATCATGTAACTGTAACTCTTCTGTACAGTATTTTCACAATAAAAAAACTTATTTAAAAATGAGAAAGAAAAAACAAGTTTGAGTTCTCAGGTTTTAAAAGAAAATTGGTATTCTACTTAGATCACAAATGGTAGACATCTGAACTTGTGTAAAAATTATACAAAGTTTTCTTTTTTTAATTTAATTTTATTTTATTTGTGAACATACTGTACAGAGGGGTTACAATTGCATGGGCAGGATAATGCGTACATTTCTTACCAAGCATTGCAGCCTCCTCCTTTGTTTACCCTTCACATCACTTCCCAGCCTCCCCCCTCCCCCCCAACAAACTTTTCTTATAAATAGGGAAATATATACGCACTTTGGAATGAATTTTATAATTAAATGCCTTACCTAAGTTCTGATTTTTAAAAAAGAAAAATTAAAAGCAATATTGTTTTAAATAATACCCAAACTGATGTCCAAAACTGAGGGCTTTTATTTTGATTTTTGAGTTTTATATGAATGTTTGCACAGATACTCCTGAGCATATAGTAAAAAAAAAAAATGTTTATGGCTTTGGCAAATATTAGGCTTTCTTTACACCAGAATATGATATCAGGGTTTGCATCTCTTTGTATTCTTTTTTCTTATAGAGAACTAGGAAGTTGTCGTGCCTAAAGCTTGATATTTATTTCATGTACAATCTTTTGCTCCCTATGTCTTAATGTTTATAAAATAAGAAGAATAAAAATTCCTATATCATGATTTAGTTGTAAAAATTAAATTTTATAAAATAATACATTGTTAAATGCCTAGGAAATAGTAATTCAGTCAATAATAATTGTCCATTATTATTTTTATTATTATTGAAATGTAAAGATTTTCAAAAGCAGTTATGGAAAATGAGTCCATCTTTTAGGAAAGTTCTGCTTTAAGAAAACATATTTATATGAATACTGTGTAGAAAACCTTCAGAAATTTTTCAGGTCTCATATTCAGGTCTCAATTAACTCAATAAGATCAGCATCTAATGTTATACTAGCCACACAAAGTATATATTATGTGCCATAAAACTAACCTTTTCTTGTAAATTCCCATCTCATCTTTGTGAAGACATTTGTCCATTGTCCTTATTTTTTCTTATATCCCATTCTTTTTTCCTTCCAAATATATTTTCCACTTCTCTTAAAATTCCTAAAGCCTTAAGATCAATCAAACCTGGTTTATCTCTGAGAATCTGCACAGTTCTCTAATACTTTTCTATTTCTCTTTTGGGTTTTCTCTTTTTCCAGTGCTAGAATTAAAAGCATGCTAACATACATTCTCTATCAGTGAGCTCATTTGCTCATTATTATGAACCTGAACTACCTAGAATTACACTCAGGTTTCTCATGGAGGTGGTGGTTTACCTTGCTTTACTAGTTGTCTTTCTTGATCAGTAGCAATCCAATTAATTCATTTCCCAGATCACATTTTTAAAATTCACTCTTTTGTGAGTAGGATCAATCAAAGAAGAATGACTTGTGCTGACCCAGTTACACTTCCCACTCAAGGTACTGGGTCTGAAAAGGAAGAAAGTTGTGCAATCTGTGCGTTCTTATGTCTCTGTTGAAGTGGCGGCTGTGGAGGTTAAAATTTGAGAGGAAAATCTCAGTTTCATCTGCTATTTCTGTAACAACTAACTCCAATTAATTATTTGAAGATAATAATCTCCTTGGATTTGTCGTTCTTATCTGTATTTTTAACCAATTCCCCCAGGAGACATGTGGCATGCCAGGATGGCTTTCTCCAAAAGCCTTCAGTCTAACCCCATTACATTTGCAAACACCTCCCCAGGGGTTATCCACACCTGTAAATTAAGACTTGTGATTTTTATGGTTAAGCTCTTCAGTGCTGATTTTCCTTTTGAGGATTTATAACACATCTTACAGACTGTCATTTATGCATAAAAGTCTTATTAGTTTTGTATGTTAACTTCGTTCCCAGTTTATGTTTTGCTCATAAAAATGAACTCATTAGTGTTCAGTTTATCTAAGTGAACATAGATTGTCGGAAAACAAATTATGCAAATTTTTAAAATAAAATTTTCTGCCAGGCACCTGTGGCTCATGTCTATAATCCTAGCTGAGATCTGAGGATTGCGATTCAAAGCCAGCCTTGGCAGGAAAATCTGTGAGACTCTTATCTACAATAAACCACTCAAAAAACCAGACTTGGTGCTGTGGCTCAAGTGGTAGAGTACTAGTATTGAGCTGAAGAGCTGAGGAACAGTGCCCTGGGCCAGAGTTCAAGCCCCACAACCGACAGAAGAAGAAGAGGAAGAAGAGGAAGAAGAGGAAGAAGAAGAAGAAGAGGAAGAAGAGGAAGAAGAGGAAGAGGAAGAAGAAGAATTCCATTACTGTGCTTCAAGTATAGCTCGTTTTAGCAAACAGTTTATAACTTCCAGAGTTATGCCAAAAATTATTCACTTAGGAACCCCTTGGGTAACATATATCTCCAGTCTCCTCAAAGAATAACTATCATGTTCACTGTTCAAATAATTTACTGACAATATGCATTATTAATATACATGTAATGCATGATGTAATTGATACACATATACAATGGGAATTATTTCCAAAAAATTTTCATAATTTGCTTTTCATAACTTCCTTGTCTACTTCAGAGACAAGGAAACTTTTTTTTTCTGTACAGTTTGTTTCAGAAGAGAGGGGATGATCACAGCTTCAGACTGCTTCCAAAGCTTCTGTATAATCAGAGTAACCTGTACCAAAGAAGTGTGCCCAGAGTTTGTTTTTCTGCTTCAGCACCATCTCTAGCTTTGGCCTTTCATGATAAAAGACTTTAGCCCCAGCCTTTTGCTTCCTACAAAAGATCCCACGTGCTGCTCTTTCACAGGATTAATTTCAGTGTTCCCACTTGCAGTTATATCTTCTGTTTCTCTCAGTAGACAAAATATTACATTTTATTGAACCATACACTGTTTTGGTCGTAGAATTTCCCAAAACCAATTCCTTCATATCTAAGCAACATTGTTTTTTCTTCTATCCTTCCACCCATCCATCCATCCACCAATTAATCCAGCAGTCATTCATGGTGTCTCTTCTGTATATAAAGTATAAATAATCACAATATTTAGAAAAGAAGGAGAACAGATAAGATGGATACCTGTTCTAGATCTTATGGATCTATTGTCATGTTTTTTTGTATGTTTGTCTACATTTTATGTAAGTATTGTTAAGTTACTTCTAGCCAAAAAGAGGTACCCAATGAAAATCTTTATTTACACATATTTCATCCATCATTGATTGTCATTCATTTTTTGTTCTTATCAAAAATGCATTAATTTCTTTAATGTTGATTCCTTTAAAAATTATTTTACTTCATAGTTTGGTTTATTTTATACTTTTGTTTGTTTTCTTTCATGGCTAGATTTCTACCTTGTCAAAGATCCCTGTTTTACAGGGTAGCACAAATTCCCCAAGATACAGCTCAGCCTACCCTAGCATGACTAAAAATGCCACATGTTCTGACAGTTTTTTTAATATAGCCCACTTCAGTGAGCACCACAGCTCGTTTGCCAAACTCAGGATCAGGGAATAAGGTAAGGCAGCAGGCAGCAGGTCAATTAACTTGGAAGAAGGTGTTACAACACAAATTAAGAAACGCATGAAAGCCAAGATGTGAAATTCTGAAGTATTTGACATAAAAGCAATAGATACTATTTTTTAAAAAATATAGTTGAAGAAGTGGCTCTGTGGCTCAGGTGGTAGAGTGCTCACCTTGAGCTGAAGTGCTCAAGGATAGCACCCAGGCCCAGAGTTCAAGACCCACGACTACCAAAAAAAAAAAAAAAAGGAAAAAGGAAAAAGAAAGAAAGAAAGGAAGGAAGAAGAGAAAAGAAAGAAAGAAGAGAAAAGAAAAAAGCAACAATAATAATAAAATATACAGTTGAAAGGTTTTAATAAACAGCCTCCTATCAAAAGAGTACAAATATCTTTTTCTAGATATAATCTCCATTATTATTAGTTATTTGATTGTTACAAAATATCAAATACAAACTAACAAAATAAATTAGATTCTATTGTCCATAATATTACATATATAATGGTAGTATCATATATGCTAGTTACAATTGCATTATATATGAGTCAATTTAGGTGCACTAACAGACACGTTTGAGTTTAGTACTACACCTTACACTTACTACCTCCATGCTCTTTAAACAATTACACTAACTCATTAGACCTCAAAGTTAAAGCATATTCAATATTTTGTGGTAAGAATGAAATCATAAACAGATATTATACATTTAGAGTAGCTGTCACACAGGTATGTAACACCTGGTCTTGATCATTGTGAATGCCCTACAGCTGGTCATTGATAACACACAAATTACCAGGCTATTGAAGATTTTTCAGTAAAATTAACAATTTGAGTGGATGCATTTTACCTATGATGTCCTTTAGAACCTGAGTTTCTGAATTAATTTTCAGAACTCACTGCAAGATATTATTCTATTTTTATAAAACATCTGGTAAAATAATAATTTGGTGTTACATAGTAGCAATACTTGTTAGTACATGGCATTTTGTGATGCAAATTAAAAGAAATATTTGTATTCGTGCAGGAGGAAAAATAACGAGAGAATAATCCCCTTGTATAATTAAGACAGTGATCATCTACAAGAACAGCATATCTTTTTGTTCTCCTCCATCAGGATGGAGTCACCAAGAGTCCAGAAAAACGCTCCTCTCTCCCAAGGCCTTCCTCCATCCTCCCTCCTCGCCGGGGAGTATCAGGAGACAGAGAGGAACACTCCTTCTCCCTCAACAGTTCCATCTCCTCTGCAGCTCGACGGACCACCAGTAGGTTCATTTTACTTTGGTTTCCTAGAGCTTAGTACAGATTTACTATATTTTACAGTATTCCAATAAAATGTACCCTAAGAACAGATGATCTTTATCCTAACAACCAGAAAATCCAGACAATAGCACTTTGAGTCAAAACAATTGATGGAGCAAATGGGAACAAATTGCTTTGTTATCTACTAAACAAGGTTGAGATAGAGTCATTTTTGTAAGAATGTTTTTTTCTCTCTCCTCTTTGAAATTTAGGCAAAAAAGAGAATTCTAAAGAAATAATTAATAGAGAAAACAACAAACAGGCTTTTGTACATTTATACAAATACTTAATTTGTATTTCCTTATTAATCATTCTTTTAGTTAGTTGAATTAACAGTGCTGATGATTAGTTGATTGATTAAAATCAATTCAAATTATAATATCTAAACCTTATTATTAACATAAAATTTTCTATTACTAGGCTTCAAATATAGCTTCTTTTAGTATTCTTAAAATATGATCAATATATGGGTAGGTGAACTAAGGTTATATTTATAAGAAGAGCAATTCCAGCAAATTGACGAGATACTTTCCTTATGTGCTACCATTGCAGGCCCTGTGGATTAAGGTAGAACTTGCTTAATGCTGCACAGCTAATAAGTGTTTGAATACGGTTTTCAGCCCACTGACAATTTCACCAGCCACCCTCCTAAGGATTTCTCTACATTTACTTAGAGAAAGTAGTATTGGAGAAATGCTCTGTAAAATCACTTGCAGAATTATAGCTCTGTAATATAGAAACAATCATAAAATGCTGGAAATTACAACCACTATCATGTTATAGCTAGCTCTTCCATTTATTTTAAATAAATAAATGAATATATAAATTATATATTATACAGATATACATATATATACATACATACATACATACATACATACGTAGTACTGATCCTGGGGCTTGAATTCAGAGCCTGGACATTGTCTCTGAGCTTTTTGCTCATTTAGTGCTCTACCACTAAGCTACAGCTCCACTTCTGATTTTTTCTGAGTAGTTTATTAGAGATAAGAATCTCATGGATTTTCTGCCCATGCTGGGATTCAAACCTTGATCCTGAATCTCAGTCTCCTAGATAACTAGGATTACAGGAATGAGCCACTGACACTGAACCCTGCAAAAATACTTTTAATTACAATATTAGAATAATTGTACTCAACACCACTTAATTTCATGAAAAAAGAAACAACCATCTTTTGAAGCTTGTGCTGAGAATATTTTGATATTTCAAAATTGTTTTTACCATGGCTAAAATATTCAACTGAACTAGTAAGGGAAAGTATTTAAGAGTTTGCAGTTTCAGCAAGAAGAGCCTTTAACTCCAAATACCTAGAGCTAGAATTGATGATGAGACAAGACAAAGACTCCAGGTTATCTCAAAGGAATATTTTAAATCATGTTTCTGTATATTGCCATGGAAACAAAATGGTACTTTCAATATAAATGCAGTTCTTCAAGCTTGTGTGTTTTGACTTTTAAAGTGTATCTGTATGTAATTTGGTTTTTAATTTGTTCTGAGCCAATGATGTTTCTTACTTCCTAACTTCTTTACCTTACTGATGTTCACAAGCATATTGTACTAGGTCATTTGTTTTTTTTTAAAAAAAAAGCATAACTGATACTCATGATACTCTGACCATCTGAGGACTTTGAGACATTGGGCCTATTTTAGCATTATATAACTCCCACTTCCTTGTCATTTCCTTTTTTATTGTCGGTGGTGGGGGCTTGAACTCTGGGCTTGGGCACTGTCCCTCAGCTCTTCAGCTCAAGGCAAGCACTCTACCACTTGAGCCACAGTGCCACTTCCAGTTTTATAGTGGAGATAAGAGTCTCAGAGACTTTCATGACCAGGCTGGCTTTGAACTACAATCCTCAGATCTCAGCCTCCTGAGTAGATAAGATTACAGGCATGAGCCATAACTTCACACTGGAATGTTCTGGCATTTTATGCAACTTTAAAAAAGATTTGAAGGAAACAAAACTGTTCAGAAAGGTCCTTTAGTCCAAGAAAGTCATTGTCATGTAGGAGTTGACAAGAAAAATAAGAAAATTTTCCAGGTCTGGTGGCTTGTACCTGTAATCCTTGCTACTCAGGAGGCTGAGATGTAAGGATTGGATATAGATTCAAAACAGACTGAACAGAAAAGTCTGTAAAACATTTATTTCCAATTAATCAAAAACAAAAACAAGAAGCCAGAATTAAAGATGTGGCTCAAGTGGAAGAATACCAGCCCTAAACAAAAAAGCTAAAGAACAGTGCCTAAGCCCTGAGTTCAAGTATGATAAATAATTTAATAAAAGTAACTAGAGAAATAAACAAAGGAGGAGGCTGCAATGCTTGGTAAGAAATGTACGCATTATCCTTCCCATGTAATTGTAACCCCTCTGTACAGTATGTTCACAAATAAAATAAAATAAATTTTTAAAAAAAGGAAGTTTTCAAAATTATATTAAGATCTTAAATGTGCTTCTTTCAGGATAAATAGAAAATACTTAACTTTATCATTTAGATTAGTAGAACATAATTTATGATAATAAAAAATTCCAGGGGCTGGGAAGGTGGCTCAGTGGTAGAGCGCTTGCCTTGCATGCATGAGGCCCTGGGTTCAATTCCTAAGCACCACATAAGCAAAAAAGAAAAAAGCCGGAGGTGGCGCTGTGGCTCAAGTGGTAGAGCGCTAGCCTTGAGCTGAAGAGCTGAGGGACAGCACCCAGGCCCAGAGGTCAGGCCCCACAACTGGACCCCCCCCCAAAAAAATAAATAAATAAAATTCCACATGTATTGAATAGCAGTGGGAAGTTGATTTAGCCTCATACTTCAAGTCTTAATAGAAAACGTTTCTTTTTTTATGATACTTAAAATCATGTTTTATAAGTATAAACCCATTTTATTTCAGAATACATTATATATATATATATATATATATATACTTCAGAGTGTAGGATATATATATATATATATATATATATATATATCCTGTAGTAAACATTTTAGCCACTCTCAGAATATTACCACAGGTCATTCTCCATATAGCAAAACGCAGCTAAGTGCATAGCAGTGAATCTGAATCCAGTTCATTACGTTAAAAAACAAATCTTGAATACCTGCTATGTTCTGCCACCATAAAAATCACAAGCTAGGTACAGAAGAAAAACATACAGAGAAATTCCTTCTCTTATAGAATATCTCACCTACTCAAAGCTGGTGAATTCACAGGGAATATATCTAAGGAAGAAATAAGATTTCTGGAGAGATTTGACAAAAGGGTATAGTGATAGGGTTAAGCATATATTAAAAACTGGCTTTGAAATGTTAATTTTATGGAAAATGAGAAAAAAGTATAGAATGCACACAAATTTTCACTTTGGTCATCTTGTATCATATTTCATATTTTTTGGATAAAGAAAAATGTTTATCTTAAAAGACTAGAAGGACACAAAACAACTTTCTCTTAATGCATGAAAAGTATTCACTGAAATAAGAAGTAAAATCATGTTTCTCTGGACAATAGAACCTAGACCAAAATGCTGTCTACAGAACACAACAATCTAACAGCTCTGTTAAATTTATTTCTTAAAATATCCAGCAAAGAATAAACTACATGACCCCATACTGGAAGAACTTTCTACAGTTATACCCAGCAATCAGCTACATCCAGTAACCTGTCTTTGTCCTTCACAAAATTTTACAAGATCCATTGATTTTAGTTGTGTACGTCTTCAGTAGTAAAAACTAAGAATCATGACATCATATGTGTCATAAATGAAGGATGACTTCTTTTAAAGCTGGGAATTCTCACAAACTAATAATTATATCTGCTTTAGAATTTAGTACTATCTGAATAAATGAGCCCTGATATTCTTATTTCTTAAGAATAATAAAATCTGCCCTATCTGTTATGTATTTTTGTTTATTTCAACGTGAGTGGTATTCCAGAAACAGCTTAAAAATCTACATGTTGTACTTTATTATATCACACTTAGTTTAAGAAAGCATTTGATGTAGCATTGAAAATGCTTTGAAGCAAATCTTAGGAAAGGAAAATGGAGACTGAGCCAGAGAAAGATATGTATTCTAAAATCCTGTATAGTTACTAAAAGCGTTTGAGACTTTTATTTGACTCCAAACTGTCCAACTGTTGATGAAAGTAAGAGAGAAAACAGTCATCCACAAGGTTCAGGGTGATTGCATTCTTTTTTCTTTTCTTTTCTTTTTTTTTTTTTTTTGCCAGTCCCAGAGCTTGAACTCAGGGCCTAGGCACTGTCCCTGAGCTTCATTTGCTCAAGGCACTCTACTACTTGAGCCATGGCCTTTTCCATTTATGTGGTACTGAGGAATTGAACCTAGGTCTTCATGCATTCTAGGCAAGCACTCTACCAATAGGCCACATTCCCAGCCCCATGATTACATTCTTGAAACAGCCCATTTTTATAATGAGAAATCAACCTTTTTCAGTCAGAAGCTGATACAATAAAGCAATGTCTGACAGCTTTTACTTAATGCACATGTAGACCACAGAGCTACTCATGTAAGCCAGAGGTATAACAAGATTCAATAGGAACCTTTCTACATATGATAAACATGTTATCTGAATACACAGTTCTAGGTTGTGTGTATACCTACATCTTTATCTCAGAATGAATGTATTTATGGAGAGGGATGAGTGATCATATGCCATTCAGGAATCTTCTGTGAACAGGATCCACATGCTACATTAAGCATACTCTCTGTTTCCAGCAAAAGGAAAGCTATATACCCTAGTTATTTCAGATAGAAACTGAGTTTTGAGATAACTCATGATGAGAACTATGGAGAGCAAATCAAGAAAAGCAAAATCAAGTCTTATATTTGTGGCAATTTTTTAAAAAATGTGTTCAAAAGAAAGTCACCAGCTTCTAAACCTAAAGATAGGAGGACCTCACCTTTTCTTTTCTTTTTTTTTCAACACCGTTGCAATGATTTGTACTTATTTACAAATACCTTAGGAACTAAATAGCTGGGGAGTTCTGGGGACGTTTTCAATTCTGTGGTTTTTGTCCCACTTGCTTGTTAACATAGGGTCAGAGCCAATTCGCAGAGCAGGAAAAAGTGGCACCTCAACCCCCACAACCCCTGGATCCACTGCTATCACTCCTGGCACCCCACCAAGTTATTCTTCACGCACTCCAGGCACTCCTGGAACCCCCAGCTACCCCAGAACACCTGGAACCCCCAAATCTGCCATCTTGGTGCCCGGTGAGAAGAAAGTGGCCATCATTCGCACTCCTCCAAAGTCGCCTGCTACTCCCAAACAGCTCCGGCTTATTAACCAACCACTGCCAGACCTGAAGAATGTCAAATCCAAAATTGGATCGACAGACAACATCAAATACCAGCCGAAAGGGGGCCAGGTAAGAATCCTGTGGTCATCTCTTTGCTGCCAGAAAACCTCACTCATTTATATTCTCTTACACGAGTTTTAATCCAACAGTTCTCAAAGAGCAAGGGAGATGTAGGTGTTCCTGAGTTACTGGTTATGGAGTTGTGGTTACTGGTTTGTGTGGAATCTTGGTAATCTGAGGAAGTTATCTTATAAAATATATGTCCTGTTTTTCTGGATATTATTAGGTAACATTTGGTTAAACCAGACCAAGACTCTTCTAGTCGATTTCAGAATGGATCTCTGTGGCTTTGTGTACTTTAACTTAAGAGATATGGATTTTGTTTTTTATTTTGGATCCGGATCATGAGCTTCTGTCACTATCTTTCATGATTCCAATTTTGTCTTCTTCCTGTTTCCTCAAGGAGTCACTCTCATATTTATTTCAATTGAGAGCATGGTTCACCAAGTTATTTCTCTGACTACCTTTGCCTGAATATTGCAGAGGACAAGTGTTTATGTTGTAATAAACAAGTAGTTCAAAATAATTCTTCTGAATGAAGCTATAGCTCAGGAACTTCTGTTTAAGATGAGATGTATTGCAGTTATTAGCAAAGTTTACTTCAAACTATAGCTCCTGAACAAACACTCATCTCTTTCCTAAGCAGGGGGCTGTGAGTTCTACCCTTCCCTGAATCTAGCCCTATGCTATATATTTGGGCAAAGCTTAGAAAGAAAAAATACAAGCATTTAATATTATCCTTTGATCCTAATAGTATTGTTACATTCATCAGTTTTGCACATTAAGAAAGGAAAATATTCTGGGCCTTTTAAAAAGTGTTGTATTATTTTTATAATTAGCCATGAATAATATGGAGAGACAATTTGAATGAAATCTGTTTAATATTGAATGGAAAATTTCTTGTAGCTTTATGAGAGAGATTATAAAATGAAATAACTGCTTTCTAAACAACTACTATTTAAAATCAGTTCTATTTATATATCCTCATGTTCTAAATATATCCTTAACTGAATATGGTTTGGGATTTTTTTTAATGTCCTAGAAAAAGTTGATATATCTTCTTAGAATTGCACAGAAATATAAGTAATTTCTAAGATAGTGTTCTGAAACTAAAAACAAAATATAATGAAAATGAAAGATATTGATAAAAATTAATATAGAATTTTATAATACATGGTTTTGTTTAAAGGAGTCCTTAAGGTCAAGAAGAATGATTTTAGCATAAGCTTTGCAGCAATTTCTAAGATTAAATCAGTCCTCTCCCCCACAAAAAATGCAAGGATGTCTGTTTTCATTTTACCAATTCTAGTTGCATTTTTATGTCTAATTTTACTTGATTTCCACTATATTTGCCAATTCATGAAGTTGATGTAAGAGACTTTCTGTTTTCATCTGTACTGAAACTACCCTCAAGATCGTATTACTTAGGCAAGAGTAAAGACATAACACAAAAATTACAACAAAAATAGCCTCAAAAATCAGAGTCATTTAAAGGAAAATCTCTTCTTTCATCTGGTAAGTGTTAAGTTGCTTTAGTATTATCTTTGGGTCAAATAACTTGGAAAACATCTACTGCAGTGAAGTTATAAAATGATTTTTGTTGCAGAAGCAAGAAATATTTCCTTTGTAAAATGAGAGACAGATGGAAGATATTTACCCTCTATTTTGTAATAGGTATGCAAATGCATTTGAATTATAGAGAGAAGTGAATTCAAAACTTGATACCCATTGCAACTGAACTGCCTTTGTAGGAATAAATATATATCTTCACACTTCACCACAATCTCCTTAAAATCTCTCTTTACAGTGTATGATCTTCACAAATGCAGGGAGTGAGGAAGAGCTTTTTTTGTTTTTCTGTACATGTTAAACTACTAGAGGACTGAACAACACTTTTGTAGTTGCTAGTTTTTAGAATGATTGAAAAATCAATCCATGTAGAACTCATGGAAATGATCAGCATGAGAAGTTAAAGATACATATACATGTATATTTAAATAAATTATATTTTTATGCGTTCTGTTACTGGAGCTTGAAGTCAAGGCCTGGGCATGGTTCCTTAGCTTTTCTCACTCAAGGCTGGCTCCCTAGTACTTGATCCACAGCTTCACTTCTGGTTTTTTGTGGTTGATTGGAGATCAAGTCTCATGGACTTTCCTTTCTGGGCTGGCTTCAAACATTGATCCTCCATTCTCAGCATCCTGAGCAGCATCAGTCACCATCACCCAGCTAAGACATTTCAAACAGGACTGAGCACCTTTAAAAGACACTGTCCTCTGATGGCATGTTGCTCTCAATTTTTGATTCGTTATCCTAGAAGAGACAATGAGCTTTATTCAGAAGCTACATTGTGTAATATGGGAACTCAATAACTTCTCAAGTTAGGAAACTTTATTTTCCCCTAATTTGAACATTTATTGGTCTTCTGGACATATACTATTTATATTTTCTATCCCTTATCTCTTGTTAATGCTCAGTTTTCTATTGCTAGAGAAGCTCAGCTCAGTGGTTCAGTTCACTGAGCCAAATCAATGCTTAATGGAAAAGATAAGCTAGTTGAAGATATGATGAACTTTACAAAAAGCAATAAGGTTAATCTTCTTAGCTAAAACATAAATTCCTTCTACTGGACAGAGCATATATAATCATGGATTCACTGTAGATAGTACGATGTATTCATTTAATTTGTTATTTAAAAAAATCTATCTCAGTATTAAATTAAAAGTATTTACAGTAAGTTCTGCAATCTACATTCAATTTAAATTTTAAACTAAGGCTAGCTTGATTAAAAACACAGTTTCTCTGAACATATAGCCTGAAAAGTTTAGACATCTTGATAAATCTTTTTTGTGTTTGTGTGTTTTCTGTCTCTAGTGTTTTCCTGTCTATATATAGGGTTTGTATTTTTAAGAGGAATTTAAAATTATGTAGATTACCCTTACATGTTTAACAGGCTTTTTGTTTTTTCTCCTTCAGCTTTCTGAAAAGCATAAGTTCTGTGCCTTCATAATAGTTAAGTAATTTAACATAACTGATGAGGCATTTTCAGAATTCATTTTTATTGGCTACTCATTGGATGGGTTGGTTCATGAGACCCTGATCTCTCCTTAGCCATGTCTGAATATCTGATTGAGGCCTTGTGAATTGTGTTCCATTGCTTCATTCATGACTACAGTTAGCTATTCTCAGATCAGCCACGCTAATCTTCATGGTATATGCAAACAAAATGTGCATATTAAAAGAAAGAGCACTGTTCATCTTTAATATAAAAAAAAACTTGTGGAATTCCTCAGCCTGTTACCTTCTCAGACAGTATATCCTGCCATCTTTTTTTTTTTTTTTTTTTCGGTCATGGGGCCTGAACTCTGAGCCTGGGCACTGTCCCTCAGTTTTTCAGCTCAAGGAAAGTGCTCTACTGCTTGAGCCACAGCGCCACTTCTGGTTTTCTAGTGGTTTATTGGAGATAAGAGTCTCACAGACTTTCCTGCCTGGGCTGGCTTTGAACTGTGATCCTCAGATCTCAGCCTCCTGAGTAGCTAGGATTACAGGCGTGAGCCACCAGCGTAGGCTTAATCCTGCCATCTTAAAAAAGAAGTCTATTTAAATCCATTAGACTAGGGCTGGGAAGTTGGCTCAGTGGTAGAGCGCTTGCCTTGCATGCCTGAGGCCCTGGGTTCGATTCCTCAGCACCACATAAGCAAAAAGAAAAAAGCCGGAAGTGGCGCTATGGCTTAAGTGGTAGGGCACTAGCCTTGAGCTGAAGAGCTGAGGGACAGTGCTCAGGCCCAGAGTTCAGACCCCACAACCGGACCAAAAAAAAAAAATCCATTAGACTAGAACTTATAAAGTATATTATTACTTTCTAGAAATAAATCAATGTACTTTCTGAAGTACCCCATTTTCGGATGTTCCCTCATAGACCACCAGAGACCACAATCAATGCAAACAGCAAAGAGTCGTTTATTGCAAGCTCGAGCTTGGTCCTCCGCGCACTTGGCAACCCGTGACGTTAAGAGGCCATGAGCATAGAATCAGCACAGTTTTTACAGTATTGAACAAACAACTTTAAGGAACTTTTGCATTAGAAATTACATGATTGGTTAACATTTAAAGCAAGCTAAGCTGGGCAAATATGATTGGTTGACCTTTACATAAAAATATCCTTGGTCCATAGCTTGACCAAAAAACGGTTATGAGTCACATCTGGACCAACAGAATGCATGGCATGTCTCGCCCTGGGCTCTGAAGAACCGGTTGGTCAGAAAATTATATGGTTTTCCTAGGAGCCGAAACTCTTAGCCCTAGGTTGCTAGGGGGCAACACCACTTGGGGGTAATCACCTGCCTTAAGGAAATGCCATCTATGGCTCCAAGAATTGTGCATGGCTTTCTGTCATAAATTCCTAGCATTGGGGCTAAAGTGGGCCACAAGTTAAGTCGCAGAACTGAGATGGGGTCTTACGTAAAATGGAATTGCTTAGGTTTTTCACTTTCTGTTAGGAAAATGGAGGAGAAAGGAACAGGCTGGACTCAGTCTCAACTGGTGAGGACTGTGTATTGCGGAGCAGTGAGGAGCAGGCAACCTTCCCAAGAGATTGGAGGTGGTGCAAAAGGTGGGGGTGGAGTTATGTTTTTATGGGTCCAAGAAGGCTTAGGGCTGGCAGAGGTGAATAGAATGTTTATCTCCAGGCTTAGGTCTGAGTACCCTGCCAGTGTCATGCAAATCCTTGCACACTGGGGTTTTTCCTGACTTCCTAAGTGTCTGGGATAACAGGGAGGAAGTCAGTTCTTCACTCTCTATCTCTTAATTCTGTATGGACCCATTGAATTTAATGGAGCTATCTATACTTTTCACTACCTTAGTGTAAGACATATTTTTTGTCTCTTGCTGATATCACTCCAATAATTGTTACCTGGTGTCCCTGTATCTATATTTGTCTCCACCGGATGTACTATAGCCAGGATTTCTTAGATTTGTAAGTAAACATTCCATTGTCTAATTAATTATTT